CGAGACTGTTAAAAGCATAAATAAAGTGTACGTTTTAAAAAAAAAAACAGCACCACAGCTCTCCTTTTTCGTAGCTGCAACATGTATCTATATCTATTTGAGCTATATTAGCCTACTATAAAAATCTTTTTCCATTTTCAATATTTTTTATAAAGCTCCAGGGAGCCACTAGATGTCGCTAAAGAGCCGCATGCGGCTCTGGAGCCGCGTGTTGCCGACCCCCGTCCTAAGATATGACGTGGTTTCCGTTTCCCACAGGGTCACCCACCACCTGAAGGAGGGGCAGGTACATTGTTTGCCGAGTGGCGGCCAAAAGCAGGGGACTTGGTGGCCTGATTCCCAGTAGCTTGAATAACACACAACACATAACAGTGGGAATTTAAATAACATTGAAATGTTATTTAATTGTAACGACCAACCACTGATTGAAAAGTTCTCAGGTGTTATACAGTGAGGGAGGAGCAACTCATTCTGGACACCCAAGTGCGTCAATGGTTTCTGTTTTACTTCCCCCAATGCTATATCCACAATAGAGTACCACATAGTCCTCTGTCCTGGCACGTTTGCAGCAATTACCTTTTAATGGTTTTTAATAACTATGCATTTGTTAGTGCTTCAAATAGATTATGTTGCTGTATATGCACAGCTCTCTTAACACTTGAGTTTGCGGCACACCCCCACAGGTAGTGTAAAGTTACTTTTTTTGTTAGCATCTTATCAACAACATTTTTCTTTGCATCAAAGTTACTCACGTGAGCAGGCTTGGTGGTTTGAAAGGTTGTAAAGGAAGGGATAAAACTGCAGGCAACGCAGAAGAGGCATACTGGTGCGACACTGCTCACAGGCAGCAAAGGATGAGAAGAAAGTGGAGGAGGAAACGGCTGTCGTCAGCGTGTGGCGAAACAAGGCCAGAGCTCCTGTCACATTGCCCTGAGCCAACTGCAAGCTCATCAGGCTGAAGAGTGCATGGGGCTGGTGGGAGAAAAGGTGAGATGTTCAAATAATCACATTTGTTTTGGTGACTGAACACAAGTAGGTCTATTTCTAACAATGCAAATACACATCCTGGGAAATACACAAGTACTTGTTTCTGATTTGTGTGTGCATATTTAGAACACTCAAACCAAACATCAAAACCAATTTTAATATTTTACAGACAATCCAAGCAATTATACCGGTAAAATGCAGCTTCTAAATGGCGATTTATTAGGGGGCGAAAAATATTCATCCCCATATGAAATGAGGCTATGTTCATACTGCAGGCATATCTGATTCAGATCAGAATCACTCCTCAAATCCAATTTTTAGGGCTGAGTGTCTACACTGTTTTTAGTGTCCAAATCGGATTTGGCTCTCTTCAGACTGGGCCACATTACTGGCCATTTCACAGGTAGCTGTTTTATGTGCTTTGTGACTGTTGGAGCTACAAAATAGCCACCCAGTTTCAGTCTGGATGGGATAAAAATTGAATTTTGGCTGGCAGTCTGAAGAAGGCCTAATTGTCCCCTGAACCGAATAACTGGCTGCAGCAGCCATGGCAGCAATAACAAAACAGGCGTTTGTAATAACTGGTGATCTTTGGCGCGGAGGGATTTTGACTCACTCTTCTTTCATTTTTTTAACATGACTTGCCCATTCAAGGTCATATGGAAGGATGTCATTTGGATTTATATCTTGACGTTGACTATTCAAAAAAACATCGATTAAGGGTTTTTTTTTTTTTTTTTTAAATTTTCTGAGCCATTCAGCGGTAGATTTGCTGGTTTGTAGGGTAATTAGGGCCGTATAGGTTTGAAATGTTACCCCCTTAATAAACCATCATTTAAAAATGTTATATTAAATTGGGTTATCTTTGTGAAATATTAATATTGGACACCTACAATAAATAAATACAACCAAATAGGGACACCCAGTTTCCCTAAAATGCATTACAGCCATGACGCGTGAACTAAATTTGACCTTCTCTAGATAACAGAACAGCAAAATTTACAACAGGTATTTGATTCATGAATCCATTCATCCATCCCTTTTCTGATCCACTTTATCCTCGCAAGGGTTGCGTGGGGTGCTGGAGCCTATCCCAGCTGTCTTCGGGCAGTAGGCAGGGGACACCCTGAACCGGTTGCCAGCCAATCACAGGGCACACAGAGACGAACACTCACACCTCGGGACAATTTCGAGTGTTCAATCAGCCTGCCAATGCATGTTTTTGGAATGTGGGAAGAAACCGGAGTACCCGGAGAAAACCCATGCAGACCCGGTGAGAACATGCAAACTCCACACAGGGAGGCCGGAGCCGGAATCGAATGCACGACCTCTGCACTGTGAGGTCAATGCGCTAACCGTTGGACCTTGATTCACAAATTGAAAAAGAAAAAAATTCCTGCAAAATCCTTAAAAAAAAAAAAAAAAAAAAAAACGCCCAGAAACATAAGATATAGTTTTTCCAGGGAAAATGGGGGGAAAAAAGATTTTTTATTCTGACTTGACCAAGATAATGTATTCTACTAATTAGTGTGCATATTAATAAATGGGGTGCAATCAGGAGACACATTGCCTAACTACTGGAATTATGACAATGATCCCAAAAATGTGACTACTACAACATTATAAAAAAGTCACATTCCCATGAGTATCTACCTCAGTTGCATTGTAAACCAGCGCTTGCTCCACCAGCGTTTGTGAGTGGGTGGTCAATCCATAATGCAGCAGCAAATTAGCAGCATTTGTGAGGGGCAAATGACGGTGCGAGGGAGGGACTTTGATCCACACTTGCCGCAGGCACTGAAGGGCACGACTGCCGTTTCCTTGGGCCCGCCAGAAGAGAGATGCCTCATTGTAGATGTGCGAGCTGGATACTTGGTCCTAAACAAACAATACCTTCTTAGTGTGGACATATTTGAAGTAATAAAAATGTTGCTGTTTTTTGATGGACTATGTGATTTATGTCAAGTGTGCATGATATTTATGAGAATAATGCACACATTGCAAGATCAGCTTATCAGAAGATAACATGCGCAAAGCTTGCTCACTAATTTCATTATTTCGGCAATTCTGGAACCAATTTGTTCCAATGTCCAACCACCACTTCGGAACTGCAAAATCTGTAATCACACACAATGATATGTTTCTGCTGACTTTTACACAACTGCAAAATACAATGTTACATCGAACAGTGTGGTTTTGTATTATAAAGACCCAGAAAAAAGGAAAGCAGACAGAGACCTGGAAGGCAAAGGGATCTGGAAGCATCTTGTCTTCCAAAAGCCAGTCAAGTGAAGCAGGCAGGGGAGGTGAATGTGCTTGGGAGAGAGAACCACACTCTGGCAGGGTCACAGTTTGAGGAGGACTAAGACTCCCATAGAGAAGAGTTGCCACTGGGCTGAATGGCAACAGATAAAATACAATTAGTTACAGTATATTTTTTCACGTGAAGCACATCACATCGAAATATTTGCAGATTTTGAATGAGTACGTACCTGTGACTTTTGGTTTCAGGCAAAAGGTGGTATGTCGGCAACAAGTGCACAGGTGGGACAGTTGGGTATTCACGAATGCAGTCTGACCTCTGTGGCCACAACAACTTCTGCACATCCTACAGAAGAAACATGAAAGTGAAATCAGTTTTACTGAAAGACTACTCGAGACTAAGCCGAATGTACAGTGGCAAATTTCAACTTCTACAAAAATTAAAGGGGACATATTAGGGAAATTTGACTCTTTAACTGCTTGGATAAAGAGCCGGTCCACCCACAAAATTGAACAAATCTTTCGGTACATTGTATGTCTATCCCCGATAATATGTCAGTAAGCAAGTCATTCTCCACTTCCGCCCCACTTTTATATAACAGGTGGGATGTTTTAGATAACTACCCCATCATCCAGAGCAGCTCTGCCTACGACTTGGAACTCAACTGGATGACCCAGAGCCACCTTTAAGCATAGAAACACAATGTCCGAAACACTATATTATAGCCAAAAGCTAAGACTACTTGCACATTCTTTTGGGATGTACAGATTAGCTAACAGTGAGTGGGAAAATTTTTTTAGCAATGTGTCCACTGCGCTACATACATGGGTCAGCACCCTAGATGACAAGTGGAATTTGGCGGCTTGGTGATGAAGTGCATCCTCCAAGGGATAGAACAGATTCTGTACTGTCTTGTATGGGCTAGCGTTAATCGTTTCTTTTTTTTTTTTTTTTTCTTCAGACCCTCCAAGTGCAGTTCACTACATTAATGAAATGCATACTGGCCATTGGTCAGAAATATGTGGGATGGGATGAGGGTTGGCTTCACTTCCATGTAAGAAGCTCATATAAACAAGAGAAAAACATTGGGTGTGTAAAACGTTCTATAATTCTTGATCGTTGCAGCTCTTGGACAAATGCATGTCACTGATGTTATAAAAACAAATGGTAACCGTTTTTAATTGTGGGGGGAAAAAAAGCACATTATGTCTGAGTGTTGCAAAAGCAATGATTAACCAGAACATATGCAGACTCCACATTATACTTAAAAAAAAAAAAAAAAAAAAAAAAAAAAAAAAAAAAAAAAAAAAGAAAGGAAAGGCGGCACGGTGATCAACTGCTGAGTACGTTCGCCTCATAGTGTAGAGGTCCAGGGTTCAATTCCGGGCTACGGCCTTCGTGTGTGGAGTTTGCATGTTCTCCCCGTGCCTGCATAGGTTTCTCTGGGTACCTCCCACATTCCAAAAAACATACATGGTAGGCCAATGGAACACTCTAAATAGCGTGATTGAGAGTGTGGATTGATGTCTGTCTATGTGTGCCCTGCGAGTGGCTGGCAACCAGTTCAGGGTGTACCCCGCCTACTGCCAAAGGACAGCTGGGATCGACTCCAGCATGACCGCAGTCCTTGCGAGGATAAGCATCTCGAGTACAGTCAAGTGTAATTATAAGTCTTGCCTGTGTGTCATCATGATGACTGCTCCAAAGGGCGGCAACAGGATCTTGGTCACCTGACACAGAAGGATGGAGCTGAGGGCTGTGTGTTGACTGATTGGAACTGTGATCAGACACAAGTGCCACACTGGATGCCACTGATATCTCTTCGCCAAACTATGAGGAAAGGGAGGCAAGAGTCTTTAAAGTGTTCATCATTGTACTGCTTAGTTTACTGACAAGCAGGTACCGGTATATAAATATTTTTTTTAAACTCAAACAAATTCAAGAAAAAACAGGGACATATCATCAATAGAGGGTTTGGCGACCCCCTCCTCCCCGACTCACACTTTTTTTTTTTTTTAATATTTGTAAAAAATAAATAGACTCTTTAACTGCTTGGATAAAGAGCCGGTCCACCCACAAAATTGAACAAATCTTTCGGTACATTGTATGTCTATCCCCGATAATATGTCAGTAAGCAAGTCATTCTCCACTTCCGCCCCACTTTTATATAACAGGTGGGATGTTTTAGATAACTACCCCATCATCCAGAGCAGCTCTGCCTACGACTTGGAACTCAACTGGATGACCCAGAGCCACCTTTAAGCATAGAAACACAATGTCCGAAACACTATATTATAGCCAAAAGCTAAGACTACTTGCACATTCTTTTGGGATGTACAGATTAGCTAACAGTGAGTGGGAAAATTTTTTTAGCAATGTGTCCACTGCGCTACATACATGGGTCAGCACCCTAGATGACAAGTGGAATTTGGCGGCTTGGTGATGAAGTGCATCCTCCAAGGGATAGAACAGATTCTGTACTGTCTTGTATGGGCTAGCGTTAATCGTTTCTTTTTTTTTTTTTTTTTCTTCAGACCCTCCAAGTGCAGTTCACTACATTAATGAAATGCATACTGGCCATTGGTCAGAAATATGTGGGATGGGATGAGAGCTGGCTTCACTTCC